TGGTGCGCGCCTGTAGTCCCAGCTACTTGGGAGGCTGAGGCAGGAGAATTGCTTGAACCTGGGAGGCAGAGGTTGCAGCAGCGAGCCAAGATCACACCACTGCACTCCAGCCTGGGCGACAGAGCAAGACTCCATCTCAAAAAAAAAAAGAAACAACAACCAAAAAAAACATGAAGTTAAATGAGTTGGCGTATGCAAATGCCGAGAGCCACGTCTGCTACATGGTAAACTGAACATAAGTGATGGCTGTTATTATTATTCTTTGAATTCTTGACACTTGACATGTCTTCTAAACTAGACTATAATTTATTCATCCTTACAGATATGTACTAAGCACCCATCATGTTTGGATGTTGCTCCAAATGCCAGGACACAGATAACACAGACAAGGCTTCTGCTCTCATGAAGCTTAGAGTCCAGTGAAGGAGGCAGAAAACCAAAAAGAGAATGCCAAGTCTAATAAGTGCTATGAGAAGAAGGTGAGGTGAAAGAACATGTGGTCAGGAAGGTTTCTCTTGGGCCTCAGGAGCCTCAAGGAGCCAGCTGTGTAAAGAACTGGGGCCAGGGGGTCTAGGCAGACAGAACACACACGCCAAGGCCTTGAGGCAGGAATGCGCTTGGCACATCTGAGGACCGGAAGGGTCTGTGTGGCAGGAAGGTAGATCATGAGGGGGGGTTGAGGCCAAGGCAAGCGCTTAGGTTTTATTATAAAACATGGGAAGTCAGTTCAGGTGAGGTGGGGAATAGTGGTGTAGGGCCGTGGTGGCCCCACAGGGTCGTTGGGTGTCCTTTACGCTGTGTTGAGGTGCAGGATCTGAGAAGTAAAGAGACAGGACACTGAAGAACTGATGAAGAGCATCTGGACTTGGGGGGCCACACCACCTGTGAGTGGATATCAGTGGTGGCCCCCAAATGCCCAAGAGCATCTGTATTTATTACGTATAAGCAGGGGGCAGGGTCGTGAGTGAGGTCATCATGTATAGGCTTAGTAATAGGGCTTACATAATCACGTGAGTCACAGGTGCGGGGACCACACCATTATGTCACCTGGGCAGAGGTGGGCCATGTACAGCAGGGGGACGTGCAGTGTGCAGTAGTAGAGGGTCGTGTACAGAAAAGGGGTCCACCCCATTAGGTCACGCGGCAAGGAGGTGGGCTGTGTGCAACGGGTGTCATACGCAACACTTCCTATCTGGGGGCTGGAGACTTCAAAGGATTTCTAATAGAAGGGTACTGTAAGCTTAATGCAGTAGGAGCTGACAGACTTGTGCTCTTCTCTTATGATATTTATGGGAGGATTCTTTGAGTAAGCACAGAAACCAGAAAAGACTGACAGGGTGTACAGCCACTGTGACTGGTCACACCAGAGGGGTTCTTCTCCCTCGGTTACTTCCAGGATCTCAGGCCTGAGGCCTACTTTCCACAGGAACTGGATGCAGGGTACTACAACTCCTTTATCAGGAGGAGAGGCTCTTGCTCCAAGCCTGCCATACAGCGTATGCCCTTTCAGGGAGGGATGCCACCGCCTGGATCTTTGGTTCTCGTCCTGGTCTGGCTGCTTTCCCAGGTACTGCTTCTGTTCTGTGACCGCTCTAGGTATTCCTCTTACTAAAACTACTATATGGTTATATAGAAGGATTATATACATCAGCACTAAATGTGTCCGTACAGCTCCGACTACAATACCTATATGATTATGTAGAAAGATTATATAGAACTAAGTAGATATAAGTATTAAGTATGACTATAGTAACTAGATATATGTAAGAAGTAAGTTATACTTGCAGCACTAATTCTATAAACTAATATATGATTACATATGCAGGATTATATAAAGGAAACAGCTGAGCAATAACACTATAAACTAAGATATTCTTCAGGCACTGGTTGTGCCTGGGGTCTGGACAGTTCTCCTTCCTCGGTGCCCATGGGGGGTGTTACCCACATAGTGGTGACATGATCTGGATTATATTTTACATAGCTCCAAAATGACTGCTGGGTAGAGGCTGGCTTAGAGTCAGTCTCCCCCAGCAGTCACGTGAATCTATTTAGTACCCCCACTTCAGTACTGCAGTAAGAGTGAGGCGGGGGTTATAAGCAAGGGGACAAATTAGGAGACAATATGAAAAATGACAGTGGCTTAGAGCATCTAAGCTGCCCCTACTTCAGGCACTGTTCTCAAACAACTCTGCTCAGGAGGTGCTCATACTATCATCCTGATTTTACAGATGCAGGAAGTATGGCATAGAGGCCAGGCACAGAGGCTCATGTCTATAATCCCAGCACTTTGGGAGTCCAACGTGGGCAGATCACTTGAGCCCAGGAGTTCGAGACCAGCCTAGGCAACATAACCAAATGCTGTCTCTACTAAAAATAGGAAAATTAGCTGGGCATGGTGGTGACGCCTTTAATCCCAGCTACTGGGGAGGCTGAGGCACAAGAATTACTTGAACCCGGGAGGTGGAGGTTGCCGTGAGCCGATATTGCACCACTGCACTCCAGCCTGGGCAACAAAGCAAGACTCTCAAAAAAAGAAAAGAAAAAGAAAAAAAAATGTATGGCGCAGAGGCACAGAAGGGTTAAATAACTTTCCCAAGGCACACAAATATGGGGAGCTGAGGTGCAAACCCAAGTAGTCTGAGCCTACAGCCTGTGTGCCTAATCTTCATATCACACTGCCTCCTAGACAGGTAAAAATTGCCCCAGAAGTATGAAGGCAGAGACCCTATTTGTATTCTAGATAGCACTCACGGGGCACAAAGTAAACCCTCAATAAGTGTTTGTTGAATGAATGAATGAATGAATGATGCGAAAATACTTTTGTAAACTGAGAAATGCTTAGGTAGATATTCTTATTTGTTAGTCCTTCAACAGGAATTACATTCATTTTACATTTTGTCTAACGCCTAACACATTTTCCTGGGAAAAAGAAAAAAACTGAGGCAGGACACTTACTAGAAGCAAACAGTAGCTCACAAACCTGGCCTAGGACAGATTCAAGAGGACTGGCTAAGAAAACTCCCAAGGCTGGCATCTTGTCCATTAGAGCCTCCAGACCTTGGGAGAAAGTTCCATTCTATCCAAGGAATTATCTGTCCCCCCCCCCCCCCCCCACCACCACCACCATCATCTTCCGTCTTTCTATCCTATTTGAATTGTCTGTTTAGATGACACTTTAAAGCATTTTTCTCACACAGGTGGGAAAACATTTAAAACATGGGTAGCCTCAAGAGAAAGGCGTGATATAAATAATATAATACTTCTGAATGGTGGTTGGATATGCACATTCATGGAGAGAACAGCCTTTTGGCTTCCTGGCCCACTTACTGTCTTTGGAGTCATTTCTTTGGGTATGGCCAGGGCAGTCCCAGCAGGAAGGCTGTGTGGGCTTTCCCCAGTGAAATCCAGAACCATGAACCACTCTTGCCCTGTTTTACACGGTTAAGAGGGAGAAACGACGCTGGCAGAAGGAAGCCCAAGCTGTAAGGGACCCTAACCAAACCCGAACATTTTACCCTCAGCTGGATTCTGGTGCCCTTTCCGCTGTATCCCAGGGGCTTTCTCAAATTTTTGCAATGGAGTGAATCCCTTTTTAATGATCTCCCACTTCTTCCAATAACATAGAACACTTACTTACTCACTTTACCTACAGTTATGATGGCCTTACAGGAATTAATAGTTCACTCGGCTCTTCTGGAGGCATTCTGATTAGCCCCATTTTACAGGTGAGAAAACTAAGGCTCTTTAAAAAATGTGACAAGCTCTAAATTCTGGGGAACCCCAGGTTTCTAACCCCAAATATGTGGGGCTCTTCCTGTGTCTCAGGGACTATTTGGTGCATTACCTATATGAACGCCTGGGTGCTGGCATTACCATATTCATTTTTTTTGGATGTGGAAACTGAGCTCAGGGTGGGCACTGGAGCAGAGTCACAGAGCCAGAACTCAAATCTGGCTGTCACACAAGGCCCTTCCTCTTCTGGAGTGCCACTTCTGGAATGCCCAGGTGGATTCCTGCCCTCCTCAGGGGATGTGTGTGGGCGGAGGGAATGCTTTATTGGCCAGGCAAGCACAGCTTTCACCTCTCCAGGACCAAGAAAGGAGGTCTTGCCATCTCCCTAACTCCTTCGTGAACTTCCCGTGGGTGGTCAGGGTGCACGGTGGCGGGACCACGGCCCAGCTTTGTCTCCTCCACCTGAGGAGCCTGCACCAGGCCACGCCCCGCGCCACCCCACCTCCGCCCGCAAGGCTGGTGACCACACTGTCACCCGCGACCACGGCCGCCTCCATCTTACATTTGGGGACCATTATTTATTCTCCGTCCTTACAAACACTTCATGACCGCCGGGCTGGCCCCACTCCGCCCCTCCTACCCCGACTCCCTGCCCTCTGCAACCCCTTCCTCAACTGCCACAGCCGGGATCCCAAGTGGGAGCAGGATTCAAAGTGGAAGGTTTGGACACCGCAGTTCCAGTTCCCAGTGTGAGCCGGGTCTGGGGAGATTCCCTGTCATCTGGAAAAGTCAACGCGCTTCGGCAGGGCCAGGGCCGCCGCCTCGGCTGGAGAGAACCCCCGCCCGGGCCACATACACCTCGAGGGCAGCTCAAAGAGGCGGCGAGGGCAGCGCGGGGGCAGGGGAGAGACGTGCCCGCGTGTGCGCGTGAGTGTGCGCGTGTGAGTGTGAGTGTGTTGGGGTGTATGCGCAGGCGCGCGTGCGTATTAAGATCCGGGGTGTAATTCCGCAAAGGAGGTCCAGGAGACCGGGCATCGCTAGTGTGGACGAAGCTTTGTGTCCAAACAGGCAGCGCAGGGACTAACCCGCGAGGGCGGGGAGCAGGGTTCTCCTGGGCGAGGCAATGCGAGGAGCCGGGGCTGGGCACGGGAGGGGAGCGGGATTCCTAACCCGGACGGGACGCCTGGGTGTGGGAAGCTCCGGAAATGGGATCCTGCGGGAGGTCCGTGCGCCCCAGCCCGGGCTGGTGGGACGTTGGGGTCACCCACTCCCCAGGGATGCTCCACGCCAGGCACGCGCAAGGGCCGCGAGGTGACGTTCCCGAAACAGCGCCCGCAGTAGCGGGGAGAGGGGTGGCCTTTAGGGGGACGCCACACCTCCAGCCCGACCCGGCTCTCCGGATTGTCCCGGCGCCAAGCCCGCCGCCCACCCTGCCCCACCCGGGGCGCGGAGCCCGCTGCGCCCAGCCCGGGGCTTCCCTGGCGGAGCGAGTGGGGCGTGGGGCGCGGGGCGCTGGGCGCGGGTTACGCCCCCCCACTCGGCGCCCACCGCCGCCCACCGCGCGGGAGCTCGGGCGCAGGGACGCACCGCGGCGTCCACACTCCCGCTCGTTCCGGCGGTCCCTCCCCCAGACACTCACAAAATTGTCGCCGCAGCCGTTGTCCGGACACAGCACGTAGAAGGAGACGCCGGGGTCGGCGTAGAAATCCATCCTGCGCTCTGTCTCCTCGGTGGCGATGAGCTCGAAGGGCGTGTTGGAGCACCATTTCTCCGCAACGTCGGCCAGCTGCTGGAAATCCATCGCGGCCGGGCGCCCGCCGCCGCCTCCCGCCGCCGCCCGCCCTCCCGCTCCTCGGCGCCCTCCTCCCGGGCGGGCAGCGCGGCGCTCGGCGCAGCCTGAGCGGGCTCCTCCGGGGCCGGGCTGGGCCGGCGGGGACTGTTTACATGCGGTGCGGAGCGGGGCGGGCGGCGGCCGGGGACAGCGCGGCGCCGCGCCCGCGGCTCCTCCTCCGCCCCGCCTCCCCCCGCCCCCTTGCGGGCCGCTGGGGGCTGGCGCGGCCGGGCCGGGACGCGGGGCGGCGGGAGGGACGGCCGGCACCCCCGCGGGCGCCCGGATTTTCCTGGGCGCTCCCGCCCCCCTTTATTTTTAAACGAACCCAGAGCATCCCGGGGCCCTGGCCAGCGCGGGGCCGCCCCGGGCCGTGAAGTCATGGGCCCCAGCCAATCACCGGAGCCTGAGACCGCGCCGCGGCCTGCGAGCCCGGTGACGTCACAGCGCGGGCCTGGAATCCGCGGCTTCGTGGGTTACCTGGAAGCTGTGCGAGTGGAGTTAGCGTGTCTGTGGAGTTAGAAAGCCCAGAAAGCGTTTCCCCGAATGCGATGTAAATGCAAGGGAGGCCACAGAACTGCAGATAACTTCGACCTTGTCTGGTGCTAGCAGTGGAGGAGCTGAGAAAATCTAAAGAAAAGGGAGTTTTTCTTTTTGCAGAAATCAAAGTTCTGTTCTCCAATTGATTTAAGGTAATGTGTCTCCTTAATGCATTTATCAGACACTAATATGAATGCTCACTTGCCAAGGAAGGGTGTGTGTGATTTTTAAAAAATTTGCGTTACATAAAGCTGAATATTTCTTAGAAATAAGCCTCCTAAGACTGGCTTCAGTATTGTTCAGCTTGAATTCACATGGCATAATCCAAAAAGGTCAAGAAGATAAAGAACATTTTAAAACAAGAGTGTGTGGCCCAACAATTACACCTGCTGGGTGCTCCCTGGCTGCCATGTACAGGACAGGCATTACTGGATTGCAGAAAACTTTGCACTAGAGTCCTAGCCCGCAGGACTTGAATACTACAAACGCAGATACATTATAAACATTGACGCAGCTTTTTAAAGTGCGTCTTCTGAACCAGGCACTGTGCACGAATTTACATTCCCAGCACCATGTATATGTGCTTCCTTTTCTCTGCATCCTCGCCAACATCTGTTGTTTTTAGACTTTTTAATCTTAGCCATTCTGACTGATGGGAAATTGTATCTCACTGTGGTTTTAATGTGCGTTTCTCTGATGATTGGTGGATGTTGAGCATTTTTTCATATGTTCATTGGCCGCTCCTATGTCTTTTTTGAGAAATACCTGTTCATGTCCTTTGCCCACTTTTTAATAGGGTTGTTTTTTTCTTGTTGAGTTGTTTGAATTCCTTGTAGATTCTTGATATTAGTCCTTTGTCAGATGTGTAGTTTGCAAATATTTTCTTTCATTCTGTAGGTTGTCTCTTTAACCTGTTGATTATTTCTTTTACTGTGCAGAGGCTTTTTAGTTTGATTAAGACCCGTTTGTCTATTCTTGTTTTTGTTGCGTTTCCTTTTGGGTTTTAGTCATAAAATATTTGCCTAGGCCAATGTTGCAAGGAATTGAATTCTGCCAACAACCTGAATGAGCTCAAAAAGTAGATTTTTTCTCAAACTTGTTGTATTTTCCAGACAAGAACTGAGCCTATTACCATGATTTCAGCCTTGGGAGAACCTGAGTGAGAACCCAGTGATACAATCGCTGAACTGGGACTTCTGACTTTCAGTACTGTGGGCTAATAAGTGGGTGTTATTTTAAGCAGTTAGGCGGGTTTAAATTCTTTCATGCAGCAATAGAAAACTAATACACAGGACAATGAAAGAGACAGGCATATGAATATAAAAATTCAACAGGCTGTTGTAAAGTTACAAAATATTCCTTAAAAAAAAAATGAGTGTCTCCAGATAGCATAAGCTTCCTTGCAATTTTACCTGGTTCCACCATTTAAAGCATAATATGTGTTCCAAAAATGAAGAATTCCTTACATTTGAGACGAAAATACGAAAAATACATTCCTTTTTTCCTTTTTGGTAAGGAGGTTTTAAAAAAAAAAATCCATATGTTTTAAAATGTATCAGGGAAATTTGCTCCAAATGATGAATGATCACAATTATGAAGTTACATTTATTTAACAAATAGTTTTTGTCAGAAAATGAAAAATTCTTATAAAAATAGAATTTTGGGTACAAAGTAATTGCTCGATGAAATGGATACTGTTGGGTTTCCTTAGAAAGGCATTGGGAAAAATAGCAAAAGCTTCAGCGCTCCATGTCCAGGTTGATTCCTCCCTCTGCCATTTTAAGTTTTAAGTCCATCTGCAACTTCCTTCCTTGCTCTGAGCTCAGTTGTCTTTTCTGAAAACAGGGACAGCAGTGAGATAAAGTATGTAAGGTCATTACTCCAGAACCTAGCACATAGTAAGAACTCAGTAAAAGCTGTTACTACTCTTAATCTGCTTCTTAAGGGATGATGAGTAGGAAGATCAGCTAATGAATTTTTAAAGTAAAATTCAGGAGTGACATGAGGGTGATATGATTGGGAATACTGGTCACAGATGAACCTAATCTCCTTTTTTCCAAGTCTTTAGAGTAGGGTTTCTTAACAGTAGCACTTAGTGATATTTGAAGCCAAAAATTCTTTGTTGTCAGTGGCTATCCTGTGCACTGCAGGATTTTTAGCCACACTCTCTGGCCTCCACTCACTAGATGCCTGTGGCATCCCCCTCTACCCTCCCCTCTCTCCAATGTCACAAGCAAAAATTTCTCCAGATGGCCGGGCACAGTGGCTCACGACTGTAATCCCAGCACTTTGGGAGGCCGAGGCAGGTGAAGCACAAGGTCAGGAGTTTGAGACCAGCCTGGCCAGTATGATGAAACCCCATCTCTACTAAAAATACAAAAATTAGCTGGGTGTGGTGGCGTGCACCTGTAATCCCAGCTACTCAGGAGGCTGAGGCAGAAGAATCGCTTGAACCCAGGAGGCGGAGGTTGCAGTGAGCCGAGATTGCACCACTGCACTCCAGCCTGGCAACAGAGCGAGACTCCATCTCACACAAAAAATTAAAAAAAAAAATTTCTCCAGACATTGCCAAACGTCCCCTGAGTGCAAAATTGCCCCTCCGTGAGAACGACAGTTTAGAGAAAAGTCTTGTAACAGTCATGTTTTGGTGATTTTTACAAACTAATAGAAAGGGTGTGCACATAAAGCAGCTGAAATTCATCCTGGAAAGTTCATCTGCAGAAGTTGCTTGAAACTTGGTTCCCTTAGAACAACTGGAAAAGCCACCAGTTGCTTAGCTAAGAAGATCGTAAACCTTTACCCGGCCTCTCTCCTGCTTGGGGAGAGTCCTGTGAGGCATCCTAGGATGTAGGGATGTATTTAGGCCTCATGTACAGGGCAGTGGTCATTTCAGAACTCCAGCCAGGTGTTTTGTGCAGCCACTAGGTGAAGAAACACCAGGGGCTCCTATATCCCCTCTTTCTTGTGTCCCCATAACCTTTGGCCATGATTTGGAAGTAGAAGGAAAATTAAAACTTCTCCCCAGTCAGGCACAGTGGCTCACACCTGTAATTCTACCACTTTGGGAAGCCAAGGTGGATCACTGAGCCCAGGAGTTCGAGACCAGCCTGGGAAACATGTTGAAAACCTGACTCTACTGAAAATACAAAAATCAGCTGGGCATGGTGGCATGTACCCATAGTCCTAGCTACTTGGGAGGCTGAGGTGGGAGAATCTTGAGCCCTGGAGATCAAGGGTACAGTGAGCCATGATTGCACCACTGCACTCCAGCCTAGGTGACAGAGGGAAACCCTATCTCAAAAAATAAAACAAAACAAAACAAAAAACTTATCCCCACCAGTAGGCAGAGTTGTACCGCCTTCAGTGTATTTAAGAAATGTTTCTGTTCATTTATAGAAATCTGGACTTTGCTGTCTCTGAAAATAACCATTTGCCTTTGAGACATGTGTGTTGGCAAGAAGAGGAGGCATATTCAGACCCCACTGGCTAGGACATCAGGAGCCCAAGATGGAATGCAAAGGCCATCCTGGCCTGTCCTGCTAATGCTGACTCTTCTGCCCTGTTCTCAAGTTCTCCATGGCTTTTATTCTAGTATAAGTTTGATGTTAACATATAATTTACCTTCGATTCACTCCTATGTTGTAAGTCCGTTTAGTTAGCCCTACCCTTTGATAAATCTGCTCCATCCACATTGCTTTGTGGTTAGGTGGTAGGAGGAGGTAGGTAGAGAGGCAAGCATAGCTGGTTCCACATTCACCCTTCAGCTGAGCCCAAGGTCGTCTCATTGTATCAAGAGGGACTGTAGACCCTGGGTCCCAGGAGATGGGGGTCAGGAGAGAGGTGTATGATTTGTCACAGGGGTGATGGGAGAGGTAAAAAGACCGTAGGATCTGGAGAAATAACTCCCAGGAGAGCAACACAGGAAGGTTGAGAGCTGTCTTCTTCCTGTACTACGCTCCAGAACAGTGAGCCCAGCCGTGGGGTGGGAGGGTAAGTAAAGCGCAGACATGAGTTAAGCCTGTGCCAAAGTTCATGTATCACTGCAAATAGAGTCTGAAAGAAAATCACGTTGGACGATCAGCAGAAGTTGAAGATTTACATAAATGAGTCACTGTGATTTACCCCAAATGCGCCCAGTAAAGCTCAGGAAAAGGATTTCCTTTAGCCTTCCTACTCTGGGGCGAGGAAAATTCATTCTGAATTTTGTTTCTGAATCTTCCAACCTTAGTTTGTACAAAATTACTTCTTTTTTGAACATTCTTCTAAAAGGTTGGATGTAGAATTTGAGCAAGTTAGGGGTTACAGGATTTGGCTACGTTTGCCTTCAAAAATGCCTAGCTGATCACATTCACCTGGTAAACATTTTCCTTTTATATATGTCAAAGAAACAAATACTCACTTATGATTTGGCGTTTAGCTTCTTTATTCATTTAAACACGTCAGTATTCTGTCTTCTTCAATGATGCCCTCCTTGCCCATATTTTCAGCTAGAACAGTTTCTCATTTTCCTTATTTCTGAACACTTGCAGTGACTTCCTTCACTGAAGCCCAATGCACAGAACTTCCTTTTCAGCAAAATCTCAGCGGTGGTGCTAAGGGACTAACATAGATTTTAAGGTGACAAAACCATTATTTTAACATTTTTCTCTGTTACTTTTCTGATAATGATGATAGTTCTGTCTATTATGTTTGCTGAGGCTTACTAGGACTCAGTGATATTAGCTCATTCTCTAGAGAGAGGTCCCAAGAGCATTACACCAGATCTCCTATGAAGATGTGGGATTTCCTCTAGGAAAAGGTGTGTATCCAGGAAATACACACCTTCTAAGCCAGAAGCTGCTGTTATTCCATGGCACTC